CAGTTTCATTTTCTTCTTGTCTCTCTCTCTCTATCTCTTTCTCCTCTTCCTTCTCCCTACTTGTTTCTTTCTTCTTCTCTTTCTTTCTATCTGTCATGTGATGTACATTACATTCGTGTATTCAAGTTTCATTTTCTTCTTGTCTCTCTCTCTCTATCTCTTTCTCCTCTTCCTTCTCCCTACTTGTTTCTTTCTTCTTCTCTTTCTTTCTATCTGTCATGTGATGTACATTACATTCGTGTATTCCAGTTTCATTTTCTTCTTGTCTCTCTCTCTCTATCTCTTTCTCCTCTTCCTTCTCCCTACTTGTTTCTTTCTTCTTCTCTTTCTTTCTATCTGTCTCCCTTTTTTTCCTTGTCTTTTGCTCTCTCCTTCTCATTTTCCCTCCCTCATTGTCTCCAATCTCCCCCCCCCCTCTCTTTGTGTGTGTCGTCCCCCCCCCCCCCCCATCCTCTCCCTTGTGCGTATTTCCCAATATTTGAAAAGATTGTACATAAATGCTCAAATATGATTGATTTGTATGCAGGGGAGTCCTCTTAAACAGAACAAGGTTTATGGGAAAACTTTAGTAAACTGAACATTGACTAAAAATCTACAGTTTTTTGTATTTTTCTTTGAGCAACTTCTCTCTCTAGACCGAAAACCTGGTGAAAGTGAAGAAAATCCCCAGAAGTCCTGCTGATTTTGCTTTGAAGTGAACTCTTCATTCAGTGTGGCTCCATATTTTCTCTGGCAATTTGTCAGAAAGCAATGTGTCATTTTCATGTTTCGAGGCTGTTCTGTGAATTTTTCTTTGTTAACATCTGTGAAGCAGCGTAGTGAAATCAGGCGCCTGTCAAAATAGTAAAACTCAAGACTTGGGCATTTTTCCGCAGGTTTGGGAATTTTTATTGAAGTTTCATTTTTTTGGTTCAACACCTTTCATGCTCATTAAAGAACACATTTTTGCGTTATTTTACTGAACTGAAAAACGTTTGTTATAGGCGTAAAAGATGTAAGTTTTCAGCTTCCTCGGACTCTCCAGTTAAGGAAATAACTCAACTTTGGCAGCCATTTTCTTGATAATTTTACCTTTGAAACCAAGCGACTCTCACCTCCTTCACACCCGCCAATATCTTGACTTGTACTCAAGATAAATGGATATTTTTAAAAATTATAAGCAGAGCAAATGGACAGGCTTTCAGATAATACCAATAACCCCATATGCCCCAAAATTGGCGAGCGCTTGATTCCCCCGCGTCGTGACACGTATTATTATGGTTAGCTTGTAGTCTTGATTGTATGTTGCAGATATTGTGTTCAGTTCTTGAGGTGGAAAATTCTGTGGACTTTTTGTATTAGTTTTCCTACTGTTGTAAGCTATCTACAGAATACAGCTTTGACTTGCATGTGGTGTGCTTTTTTTACCAGTATGAACCAAATGTGAAGCGTGCTGACAAAATGAGTTACTTCTCAGATTCAAACCCTTTGGAAATGGATACATCACACTTATGAGTGAAGTTTCTGCAATTTGTAAGCATGAAAAAATAAAAGGCATGTTATACTTAAAGAATATTGCATCAATATAAAATCTACACATTTGACCCAAGTGTCGATTTTTTTCTCCAATATCTCCATTTGCAGATTGCGAAAAGTAACTCATTTTGTCAGCGCGCTTCACAAATACAATTTGATGTCTAACT